CTGAGTCCAATGGGTGAGGTGGGGCAGCGCCCTACAACCCAATTCAGACTACTCTCCCCCGGACACCTTTTCCTTTCCACCCCTACTCATTAATTATTACATTATTATAACATTAAAACCCCTCAACACCAACAAAACCAGCGTCGTCCGGGGCCGCGGGCCCAACCTCTGCCACTGCATCACCCCAGGCACCCCTGTCCAGAATAATCACAAACACCATTCCTGGTTAAAAATTTTCTCAATTCAGACTACTCTCCCCCGGACACCTTTTCCTTTCCACCCCTACTCATTAATTATTACATTATTATAACATTAAAACCCCTCAACACCAACAAAACCAGCGTCGTCCGGGGCCGCGGGCCCAACCTCTGCCACTGCATCACCCCAGGCACCCCTGTCCAGAATAATCACAAACACCATTCCTGGTTAAAAATTTTCTGCAAATAGTCACTGCCGTCGATTTCTGCCCCCCCCTTCCGTGCTCCGGCTCTCGGCTTCTCACAGCAGGTTGGGGTAGCGGCGCTGGGAAAGTGGCTTGGGTTGGTTGGGTCGAGGGGCGGCAGCGAGCTGGAAAGGGGAGAGGAGAGGGGTGTAACGCACCCTGAAAATGGGGGATACCCCCCCATTTCCCTCCTCCCCCAATTTCTTTTATAAACCCTTACACCCAGGGCTGGTATCCCTGATATCCCCCTGCCTGCAGTGGATTGCAGCCCTGTCCCCGCTGGCGGGGGAGATGTATGGGAGCCCATCTGGAGGGGGTGGAAGGAGAGAAGCTTAACGGTCACCCCCAAATTTCAGAGCCACCCCAAGCAGAGGGGTGTCCTGGACCCCCCCCATCACGCACCAAGACACCTCCCGCCTCTCCTCACCTGCTCTCCTGCTGACTCCCCACCACCCACATCCCACGAGCCGTTCATCTCCACGGACACCGGAGTAACAGCAAAGGCATTTTCACCTTGCATTTCTCCTGGGGCACGCAACCAAAAAACAACCACTTAAAATTAAGAGAAGCAGCTTCAAAATGGCTGATGGGGAGAGGAGAGAGGACTCACACAGCATTTACCGGGGTTTCTGCATGGAAGCTGGGCAAAAGGGCTCGTGCCAGCCGTGAGAGGGTCATCGGGTGGGGATGGCGACGTCCGTTCCTGAAACCACATCCACTTGTTTAGAGCAGAAGTTCCTTGCACGATGAGAAGACCTCTGCACCAGGTACCACACCCCACTTTCGGGGTACTGCTCTGCACCCATCCTGCTGGAGAGGTCCCCCAAGAGCTGCAGGCACCCAAGCTAAGGAGCTATAGAGTCATGGCAAGCAACCACTTGTTTAAAGCTAAACCACCCAAAGAGCTCAAAATCAGGCAGGAGGCTGGACACCAAGCCCGTGCACAGTGTAAGGGGCCACCAGGGTCCATGGGTACCCCTCTGTTGCTTCCTAATTTTGGAACAATCTCCCAAAATTTCCTGCTCCGGGACTGTAGGTCATTCACAACCAGGAGGAAGTTCCCGGGGGAGGATCTCACTCCAACATCCACCTCCAAGCCCACCATCGGGCTGCAGTCAGGGACGTGACACCCCGAGGACTCGGCCAGGACTGGGGTAACCATGCACAGCTGCTCCCCCATCTCGGCTGCGTTTCCAGTTAAAGAGGTTTCCTTCCCTTCAGCTCCTAAAACCCACCAGTGCCGTGCCGCCCACAGCTGCAGCTTTCTGCTCCAGCGGAGGGCAAGCGATCCCTGCAGAGTCTGGCCGAGCACTCAGAGGACCTCCCAGAGCAGAGAGGCTCTATAAATTTACAATTACTGTTCATCAAAGCTTCACTCCCAGGCTAAAAGGGCTCCCGGTCCCAATCCATCCCCGCGCAGAGCGGCGACGGCTGTGAAGAGCTGCTCAAAGCCCCTGCCCAGCCGCCTGCGCCAGGATGGAGGGAGAAGCGATGGGTGAAGGGGGAGCTGTGTCACTTCTCCCCGCGGCTGTAACCCTGGGTGTTACCCAGGACAGGACAGCCCATCGTCCCCTACCTGCGGTCCCGGCGTGGGGGAGTCCAGGGCCGTCTCAGAAGCAGCTTTGGGAGATGTTTCCTTGGTGGCCTTCGACCGAAACCAGCCAAACCACCTGAATCCAGAGCTCTGGGAAATGGACGTTGTCACAAAGGAAAACAGTGGCAACAGATGAGAAGGGGAGGACGCCGCAGCCACCCAGATGCCCGTAGGGAGCAGGCGCTGTTTTGCCAGGGGCAGGGCAGGCGTGACAGTGACCAGGGACAGACAAGCTCAGCAGACAAGGCTTCACATCCGCTCCAGCGTGCTCACCTTGTCCTCACCTGGTTTCACAGCCTCCGCTTTTGCTGCCTCTTTGGCAGCATCCTCAGTCGCGCTTTCCGAGGAATGCTGGCTGTCGTCTTCCACGGAGACGGCGGAGCTCTCCGAGATGGTCCGAGACCTTGCCTTTAACTCCTCCTGGCACCGGAGATTGGAGCTGCCACTTGGCATTCCCAGAGGAGCCACCCCGAGCGTGATCAGAGCATCCCCGGGACCGCCCCATGCCAGGCTTAGCACCTAGCATCCCTGGGGAACCCCCGCGTCCCTCATACAGCAGGTGGGGGGGATAGCACCCACAGCGGGGTGCGGTGGGCAGCCCGCGGTGCCAGAGGCTGGAGAGGGCTACCCTAATGCATCAGGTCCCCGAGGGGACGGCTGGCACCATGGTGGGGGTTTCTGTGCGAGCTGAGTACATAGAAGGGTGAGCCAGCGAGTTCCAAATGCCCCCAGGACCCCCACAGGATGGTCTCTGACCCCTCCGAAACTCACCTGCTCTGCTGGGAGCGATGGCTGCACCCCTCCGGGGGACAGCGGGGTGCCCCAGGGCTCCCCAGCTTCTCCTGTGGAGCAGAGGGATGGACACGGTCAGGGTACGGCCCAAGGACCTCCCACCACGTCTACCCAAGGTATTCTCAGTGATTCTATCATCTGTCCCAGAGCAAGGCCGCATGGCCAAGGCATCCCCCCATGAGATGCAGAAGACCATTCTGGTCCCAGTCCCTGTCCACACCAGGGCAGGAGTAAATCACAAGGCTACACCAGCGCATCTCCAAAACCTGCCTTGCGCTGCTGGACACGGAGCTGGTTTTCCCACCCGGCAGGGAAGCAGCACCACTGTCACCAACCCATGGCTGCCCTCCCGTGATGTCTGGGGCAACATCTTCCAAAAATGGAGCCCCAGGGCAGCCGGCACCGGTGGACACGGTTTGCATGCGTGGCTCCACGTCTGGGCAAGGTCAGAGGGAAACCAGGCACTGGGTGAAGGCAGCGCTGGCAGTGAGCAGCATCCGAAGCGACATGCACACCGTAGGGGACCACCGTCCCCCGAGGGACACCCCATCCCATTGCTGCTAACCAAGGATGGGTTTGTTTTTTTTTTTTCCAGAGAAACAAGGCTGGAGCACTTACCTGCCGGCGGCACTGCCTGGCTCTTCCCCAATGCCGAGCAGCAGCGATGCCGCGACCTGAGCAGCTGCCAGGGGCCAGAGGCCCACGTCCCCGTGGGAGCTGGGTCCCTGTGGCTGGGCAGGACCACTGGTCATACTGGTAGCCTTCACTCTGGAGAAGCTCATGGCCATGTTCTTCATCTGCAGAAAAAAAACCCCAGACCTTGGGAGTTTGCTCTGGCGCTTATAATTTCATCAGGCTGTTGCACGGAATTCTCCACTTTTCCGTCATACATCAGCAGGACCCCGGGGACCACACGTGGGCAAGGGAGGAGGCAGGACACAGCGCGGCAGCGGGGACCTCGTGGAGGCTTCGAGGAAGGTGGGCTGCGAAAGATGCGGGGCGAAAGCCTCCTGGGAACGTGCCTGAGGTTGCAAATGAACTCCGACGGGGAACGCTACAGGAGCAAAGAGCCCCAGCGCGAGCAGCAGTGGTTCAAAGGAGGATGGGGCCTCCAGCCTTTTTTTCCACCCCTGCTGCACACCCTCAGCGGGAAAGAAAACACAC